TTATTACTTTTTTTTTAGTCTTTTTTTTAGTTATATAATTAGTTTTTTTTATAACTAAGGCTTATTTAAGTTAAACTACTTATAGCCTTATATAATCTATTTAAATTATATAATATTACTAGTTTAATACCTATTTACTAAGTAATGTAATAGTAGCTTACTAGGGCTTAGATAAACTTTTAGCCAAGACGCTATATTCTTTCTTAAATACCCTTTACTGTAAATCGCGTAGATAGCGCTTGGAGACAGAGATAAAGTCCTTGTTAAAAGCAATTATGCATTCAGCGCCCCGCCGTACACGTCGTTGGCACGGTTCACCCCCCGAACATCGTACTTTTACAGTCCAACAACCTTTGCATCTGTCAAACCCGGCATACGGAGTTTGGCAGAAGAAACAGGCTTTACGGGATCTCACGTGGGACTTACGCGCGAAATCGGCGAGAGGGTCGCGGTGTCGAATCCGGGGCTCTGGTTGCGTCCATTGCTGGAGTGGATAGCGGTGTCAAAGGCCGTCAGGCTCTCAAGGAATTTGACAAGTTGTAGGTCTTGAGTGTATAGGTACGCAAACATAGTAATCCAACATCAAGGGCGGGCGTACTACCGAATCGCTTATCTCCTGCGGGGTAAAGACGGCGCTACATCAACGAACCTGTGCATTCGTCGATTTGGACCAAGGTAGCGATGCCGTTAAATTCCTAGTCTTCCTGCCTTATCAATCTCATTCGCTGCTCAGGCCCAAAGACCTACTGTGGGGTACCATTTCTTTGCATCTCTTATTTTATCAGGCACCTGCAAAGAAGCCTCCGTAGCCTTACAGTCCAGTACAATATGCCTCTCGTCAGAGTCTTAATCTTGATTGTATTACTTGTGATCGCGAATATAATAGTGCTCAACGCTTACTCGATTTGGTTCGTCCGCCCTTCGTCCGATTTGAACATGCTCTATCATTCGCTTCCCGAACAGGATAGCTTTGCGCAATAAATGGGGCAGGGTCCAAAGGCTCAATATGTATTTGTACGATGAATAACCTGTCACAGTAGAAGGCACCGAGACTTAACAGAAAGGAAGAGTAGACCGAAATCTGGTATATAATCCACAGACACCTCAAACATCAGTGGTCGATCGATCACCAGGCATCTAAACACAATGAGCACTCGATCACATGAGATAACAATCCTGGGCGCCACAGGGTGGACAGCCGCGATCTGTGCAGAGCACATTGCCAAGACCTTCACAAAGAATACGAGATGGTGCATTGCAGGTCGCTCAGCCTCAAAGCTCGAAGCTCTGCGCCAAGACCTACGAGCTATCAATCCCGATCGATTGGAGCCGGCCGTTTACATCATCCCTCAACTCGACACTGAAGGCCTCGAGCCCATTGTGAGAAAAACAAAAGTTCTCATCAACGGCATCGGGCCATATCACCGCTATGGAAGTCCAGTCGTTAACGCATGTGTTCGTAATGGTACCCATTACGTCGACTCTAGTACGGAGACTGCATGGATCGCCGAAACGATACAGAACTTTCACGAGACAGCCAAAAATTCAGGCGCTATCATTATCCCGGCTATCTCGGGATCAAGTGCTCCATCCGATCTTGTGGCGTGGTTGATTGCTAGGCATCTACGAGAGCAAGGACTACCAGCAGCATCTAAAATCGTATGCTCTGGAAAACTCAGCATGATTGGGATGCAAGGTGGTTCCCTACATACTGTTCTTGACGTGGCCGAGACCTATGGGGTTAGTGGTTGGTTGACTTCTGACACCTCGGTCTTGCTGCCAAATCCCAAACATGTGGTCAAGAAGAACAAGGAACTGATGAGCCATCGTTACGACCGATATCTTGGGCATCTAGCAACATCTTTCGTTGCGTGGGGTAATGAGTCTGTCGTCCAACGATCAGCAGCCTTAAATCTAAAGATTTACGGACAAGATTTCGTTTACAAAGAATACAGCCCAGCCGCTGGCCTCGTATCCGCACTATTCATGCACATCGTCACAAAACTGGGCATTTTATTGCTTGCAGTGCCTTGGTTCAGATCCTTCATCCGTGGCATGTCCTTCGATCGAGGATCTGGACCCGATAGAGACGAAAGTCGCAAGATGGAGAGTGCGGAATGGAAGGCAGTTGGGTATGTGACTGGTAAGAAAGAACCAGTGGCGTTGGCAGAGTTCAGCTACAAGGGAGCGCTGGTTGACATGGCGGCAATTTTAGCCGTAGAGGCTGCAGCGTCAATCAATCAATTGAGCAAGACTGAGCCTACTGATGCTGGACTATTGACGCCATCGACATTGGGCATGACATTTGTGGACCGACTTCGGGCAGCGGGTTTTGATCTCATGGTTGATGGGCTTGGGAGTCATTGATTGAGTTTTGTTCCCGGGTCATATGTATTATCAATCATTACCATGAAATGTAGCTCTAGCGTACCGGATTGGCGGAGAAAATCGGCTGTTGACTCTCAAAGCCCTGATCATGGGTTCCCATGGAAGTGGAGAGCTAGCGATGTGGCCGATACCGCATGGAAGCGATTCTAGCGCGAGAAATAAATTATCTCCAGCCTCTCATATTCCGTGACACCATCTCAAGTACGTGAATGACAAGCCGCCGTCCAGGAAACATCCCGAGGATCCGAACAATCAGCGGAGAAGCTGTCATCACTTGGGCACCTTCTGTCGAGTAGGGCGTAAATGATCTGATAACCTTATTCATATCTCGGAACTCGGCACATAGATTAGTTATCTAAAGCAGCCTCTGGCCTGACAAGAAGGCTACTTACCAACAGACTTGCCAATATTGCGTTAGACTGAAGCAACGCGACCGTCAAAGAAGAGTTATGCATAGTGCGAGAGTTATTATTTACCTCATCTATGGTGGTCCAGAATGTTCCCCCCACGTGAATGAAACGGCTATCCAAGCCGAAACGCTAGGGGTCTGGAGCAGGCGATTAAGTTAGAGCGCTATTAGTAACGAAAATGCGGATGAAAATTTCGTTCAAGGTCGAAGAAGTTCCCATGTGAGCCTAATTGAGTTAGCTGTACCGTAGTGGAGAGATATCATCAGGTATTGTTAACCGAGGCGGCTGGGCTAGGTACTTTAGCTACTTTAGCCTTTGACAACTTGTGCAATGAGTTAAAGTCTGGCGAGATAATGCTTCATGTAATAGATCTCAAGTCTCAGAGATGATCGGCAGTCACCATCGCGACAAGGAGAAGAAAAACATAGACAGTGGCTGGTGATCACACAGACTATTACCTGAAATTAGTGTAAAAGCTCTTGTTACACCTCTCAACGGGGATCTCCGCCAAGCCCTCGTCCCACAGTCCATTCACATGCTAGTCCTACCCTAGTCCCCTTTATCAATCAGATCCATCTTATCAATCAGCCAAGGACCCCGCGCGATCCGTTCAAATTCCCATTTTAGGTCTAGAACGCGTGGGACTAGCTCTCTTTATCTGATCAGTGGCTGCGGCAGTTCGGCACAACTAAACGAAAAATTTGCTTGGCTGCATTCAGAATTCCGCTGAGTCACTGTTTTGCTTTTGGCGGGCGGAATTAAGGGGTCTGGAACGCCATGTCTCACTGTGACCAATGGTGACATGAGGTTGAATTCCTTGGAGGGCTGGTGGTTCCGAGAACTTGGGTGATGCCAAGGAGTGGTATCAGCACGTTGCCAAGACGGGCACTTGTTGATACCAAGATTCAGTATCGGACTGAGGTAACCAAGTGACAATATTGTCTTTAATAATTGAGTGAGGATATTGACTTGAAGGCCTCAAGACAGTTGACAACCTGACTGGAGCCATGCCCACAAACACGAGACCGCACTAACCAAGCGCAAACTCTCGGTCCTCCTCCGATCCTGGGAAAGCCTGCATTTAACAAAATGGGTCCAAACCATCTCTTCAACATGGTCCATCCCTTCCAGTCCCCAAATGCTGATGCTAATCAACAAGCCACAAAATCCATGGCCTGGGTTTCGCTCTGCTAATACTAAACCAATAGCCGTTGTCCAAAACGAACGATATCCGGCGATCAAGGATCTAGAATGCAGCCATGGAATCTTGTAATGGGTCTTTTCTTAAGAATCACCGTTTATGGAACAAGAGGCATTTTATCCAGATTGGTCTGCAACCCTACTTAAGAATCAACTGCCGAGCACAATTTAAAGCGCTTCTGTTTCTCGGCTCATTCAGGTCATCATCATTTATTGATCTCGTTTCTTCTCTTAGCCTTCATCAGTAGTCATCATGTGGTCTTCCACTACAATGCCGGCATTAGCAATCGTGCTGTCAGCACTTTCTTTCATCCCCAGCACGTTAGCCACAGTCCCTCTTGAAGGCTATGGTAGGGACGACTACCCAGTAGATTGTGCCCAGGCATGCTCATACGCCATGCCCTACAACCTCGACTGTCCTGAGTACGCAGGTATGACAGCGGAGGAGAAAGCAGCTGCATACCCATCAGCGGCATGCTTCGCCAACGATACCTCTTACTTGACCTCGATCGCATACTGCATCCACAGTTATTGCCCCAAGACTGTCAAGATCTACAAGATTGAGTACTTCTGGGAAGTCAAGATGATTTACGACTCTGAAGCCTTGACGATTCGATGGTCTTACCCTGAAGCCTTGGCTCAGGTCAACACCACAACTCCACCGAAGCCAATGTCTCCAGACGAGACGGTGTTGAACCGTACCATCTCTATCGATGCCACTACATATCAGAGCTATATGAACGGTGTAAAAGGATACAAGGCCGTAGCCAAGAACGAGTCCATGTACTCGTAAGTGGCTCTTTCTCGTGACACCAACAAAACTGACCATCCATAGGATCCTGGCCTTCATGACTTGTGTCATGGTCCCCATCGGCTTCTCCCTGCTTCGTTTTGTCCCCCTCCCAAGCTCATGGAGAAGCAAGTTTTACGGCTATTTTATAGACCCACCGGCTTGGGGTAGGCAGCACAGCGTAGCTACACTGGGGATTGGTATGGTCCCTACCCGAGGTCAAGCTCTTTTTATCCTCTACCTCATTGGCATCAACTGCCTGGCAACGTTTGCAGGATACCCCAACTACGCTCCCAACGGCATCTTCCCAGACCGCCACTATGAGCTAATGCGTCATATTGGCAACCGTGCTGGTTCCGTTGCATTCGCCAATATCCCCGTTGTTATCCTCTATGCTGGTCGTAGCAGTGTGCTACTCCGTCTAACTAACTGGTCTTACTCAACCTTCCTTCTCCTCCACAGATGGACTGCCACCATCTGCGTAGTGCAAGTAGCCCTCCATTCGCTTCTTTGGCTTCGAATCATGATCGAGGGAGACTCGTATCCTTTGGTCCTTACATACCCGTACTGGTATGTCGGTATTGTTGGAACTGTCGCCTTCTCCGCCTTGATACCTTTCTCGATGCTTCCAATCCGAAAGATTATGTATGAGGTCTTCCTCATTACGCACATAGTCTTGACGATCGGCGCTCTGGTAGGTTCTTGGTATCACATTGTTTTCCTTTACGAAGACAAGGGCGGCTTTGAGATCTGGCTCATTATCGCTTTTGCTTTTTGGGGCCTTGAGAGACTGCTCAGGATTCTGCGTGTCTCCAGATATGGTATCAAGAAAGCGTACGTCACTCGCATCGATGACAAGTATCTGCGAATTGACATCCCTGATGTTGATGCTCATGGTCACTGCTTCGCTTACTTCCCTACTCTGTCCTGGCGCGTATGGGAGAATCATCCTTTCTCAATCGTCAACTGCAGCAAAGGCCAGCTTGATGGAGAGTCCCTGACCCCAAGCTCCGCTTCGCACACACAGTCTGAGAATGAAGGCGCAATTTCACCAACTGAAGCCTCAGCCTCTAAAGAGATGGGAGGCGCCATGTCCAACATCCGCCAACTCCGAGTTCAGTGTAACGCTACCAAGCCCGGCATCACTCTGTTCGTCCAGAACCTTCGTGGTATGACCGCCAAGCTCGCAAAGAAAGCCGACACAGGCATCGCTATCCCGGTCCTCATCGAGTCCTCTTATGGCCACGAAGACATCAGCCGCTTCGAGCCCAACACCGAATACCCGAACACCCTCGTCATCTCTGGTGGTGTCGGCATTGCTGGCGTCCTTTCATCTCTCCAAGCCTCCCTGTCAATGTACGCTAAGCCCCTGGGAACCACTAAGCTGTACTGGGGAATCAAAAGTAAGGGCCTTGTCGATGTTGTCAAGAGTATGATTGTAGGTTATCATGCCGCTGGAGCAAAAGAAGGTGGTGAATCCTCCAACTGGGGCCATATCGAGACCCATGTCTCGGTTGGCGAGCGCATGGACATCAAGAGAGTTTTGACGACGGAATTGGAGAACGCTATTGGTGGAACCACAGTGGTTGTCTGTGGGCCACATGCCATGTGTGATGAAGCTCGGTATGTCTGCGCTGCAATGGCGAGACATGGTGTTGTTGTTCGTTATGTGGAAGAATCCTTCACTTGGTAGATACATCCAAAATTCGGAGGAGGTTAGCAAAGCTTTGAAAGAATTGGTAGATAGTTTATGATATAAATTTTGTTCTTGTCTATTTCAGTTTCATCAATAGTGCATTTGGCAATGTCGATCCAGGGACCTACTGAATACATTAATCGGAATTTGCCAAGATCGGGATTACTGGAATCCCAACCTGCCAGGTACTGACAGCATTGAATACAGATGGCTAAATTATTCTTCGGCCCTATAAATCCTTTAAGAGTGTGAGAAGTAGCCTGCCCTTAATAGGTCAGTACCCCTTGTTATCGGCGATTTAAACTGGCTAAAAGATACTATTGGTGAATAAGATTCCAGCACGGCTTAATTATGATCGTTGCGGGCGCCAAGATGCGAGAGTAATGGTACTTGGCATCTCGAATCGAGTCTTATCTCAATTTTAGAGTATTATAATTCCTTCGAAGGATTTGACTCAAATCCCAAGAGGCAATGACTGTGGCGTTGGCCGGCTGATATGTAGACCATGAACATGTGAGAACAGTGGGTTGTAAGCCCAGAAAGATAGCAAGGGTTATGTAAAGTATGCTGTCGGTTAACTCTGTAAGTCTAAAAAAGTACAAGTAGCTCAATAGCTCGTAGCTTTTAGAGGTTTACTTAATCTAAAAGGTTTCTGTCTCAATGCGTTTATCTATTCTCTTCACCGGCGTTATAGCAGACCTTACGGCAGCTCGAAGCATCTAAGAGCAAGCTGTATCGAGCCTCGAGTTATCTCATTATATGGCAGGAACACATCAACCTACTTAGGCTCGATACTGACATCTATAACAGCTTGCCGATATAAATGAAGACCATGCTCGCAAAGATATTGACGATGCTATTGCCATGGGGTATGTATACTGATACTATTGTGATTTGACTAATTACCCTGGCTAGCCTCGACGGGTTTATTCCCAACATTGGATATCCTAAACTCGACTGGGTTCCAAAAACCCTGAGCCAACTGTATGACTATGCCGACGACCTCGTCAGCAAAGGGAGAAGGTTCGGGCTGGCCCTTTCTTCTGACCTATATGCAACTGGCGCTTGGTACTACGACAAGAAGCTCGATAATGACTTTGGAGGTGTACGTATGACCTTTAGGTACTTCCCTTAGCCCAATGCTAGCCTAACTGATGATGTAGCCAAAGGAGTATGAGGCAATACTAAAGAGTTTTCTTGGCCGTAACTCTTACCTCCGTTACGGACCCAAGAACTTCCCCTTTATCATCAGTAGGTCTGAATTCGCATACAAGGTTCTATTGCTGACATATACAGGCTTTAGCACAGGTAGACAGACCGATAAGGACTTCATTGAATGGAAGGAATCTTTTGCCAACGAACTGTATTTCGTCCCTGGCATTGATGACACTCTCGGATTCTGGAAAAATCATCCTGCCTGGTGGCAGTATTGGGGGGACATCATCGACGGAGCCAGTGTATAGGAGTCAGCCTGGCCCGAACTCAATGGCAGCAATGAAGGTGACCTGTCCAAAGATATCAAGGTTATGGTCCCTCTGCAGAAAAAGGGTAAAGCCTTCATGATGCGTATGCCATTCCTGTATTGTTAGCCACTACCTGGACTATTAAGCTCCTCTAGCCATCAGAATGCTTCAGTACAAAAATGCGGTAAGTCAAGAATTGATATAGGATTGGAAGACGGATACTAATTGCATTGCTAGTACTGAGCGAACTTGTATCGTCGTGGTGAGATGAACGTTGTGAAGAGAATGGAGAACATCCTTAGCATGGATTCTCAACCCGATATCAGCCAGCTTTTGACTTGAGTAAGTACCGTTACATCGCAGCAAGGCTCCCGATCACTGACAATGCGCAGAATGATGGACCCTAGAGTCATCACTTCGGTAACCTCTGGCCCGAACAGAACACGGATACCCAACCCAACCAATACGGTCAGCCCCGACGGTTCCGATCATACTGCCCTCCAATCGCTGTACTAGGCCTTTATCCACGCTTAGAAGAACAGCGGTTCGATGGTTCCAGCATGGTCTAAGCGCAACGAAGCTATACCTCAGGGTGCTTTATTGCAGTTGGAGTCAGATAGAAGATATCAAGCAAGCTTAGCGTGACATTGTTACTATCCTAGCCAAGATACTGGCATTCAAGTTAGGCAATTTACTCGAGCAGAGGAATTTTGGAGCTGACATTGCCGAGAGGATTAGCGATGTAAACTTCATTAGCGGTCAGTGTTCTCATCACCTTTCACTGAAAACTGACCACAACCGCCCGAGAAGGGCGAATCATTCGAGCATCCTGCCAAGATATCACTCAAAAAGGCTTTGTTGTTCAAAGTCGCTGCAGTGGCATCAAAGGTGCTGCCGGCACTATTGGAGGCTATGCTTTCGACGACGCACAAGGTTTTCCGGGTGGCACTATTGTATCTTGCGGTGGATTCTTCGCCCCAGGACAAGAATACCTAGCAGCTGTCCAGAAAGAACTCGACGCACATAGAGCAAAGCAGAAGGACTTAATTTTCAAGACTAGTAAACTCCGTCCGATGATTTATGAGCTGGTTTATTTTCCGTCTGTCTCTCATAATCTCATTGGTTCAGGCAAAGGTGAGGTTACTTTAAGCCGAGAGAAGTGGACCAGCTAATAATGAGAGCAGAAGATAATGTTATTATTAAGTATTAGTATATTAGCGCTGACTAATAAATAAATGCCTACAGGGTATATGCTGGACATAGCTAAGAAACTGGTAAAAATAAGCACTTGGATATTATTATATTAAAAATTATTATATATTAATCTTATAAACTTAATTAGCTTATATTCTTTTAGCTTTTAAAGCTTTTAATTACTAGCCTAGATATAACTTATATTAGTAAAAGTATTAATACTTTAACTTTTCTAGCTTAAATAACTTAATTAATATAAACCTTTAATAGTTTAACTTTCCTACTATATATATAATTCTTTTTAAAGTTATTTAATAACTTTAATTATTAGCTTTTTAATTACTAGATATATTTTTATACTTTTAGTACTTTTTATAATATTATAATTTTCCTTAACTAGTTATAATTATCCTTTAATAACTTTATATTCTTCTTATTACTATTATTAAGCTTACTATTTTTCTTTACATTAAGCCTTTATAGCTTTTATATCTTTTTATAAGTAAAGTATAAAAGATAGTAAGTATCTAGGTTATAAATAGCTATATAGAATACCTTATAGCTAAATAAAATAACCTTAATATAGTATTTACCTTTAGTATTATTATTAAATAGCTTAATAACTTTAAAAAGTAATAAATATATTTTTTTTAGACTAATATACTATTTAGTAATACCTTTAAGGGTACTAAAGTTAATAGGGAAATTATAAATATAGTCTTAACCCTCTTAGCTTATTAAATTACTATTAATAATAATTTACTTTACTAAAGTAA